CAAAGAGTGCATTTTTTGACCTTGTTCCATGTTATTCTTTTTTTGCTGCTGTTAGATTAGCACCCAAATTTCTATCTCTTTCACTTTTTCTGTGCAATGCGCTTTGTTCAGGTGCTTTGTTCCAAAGAAGCAAATCCATGTCTACAAAGGGCATACTAAAGGAGTTAACTGCATCCAGTGGTTCCCCAAAAGTGCACATCTTTTCCTATCCTGCTCTATGGATACCAAGGTGATCAAATTGTGCCTTAGATTTTGCGACTTTCGCTCTCTCACTTTCCAAAGTTGTTATTTCTTTAGATCAAACTTTGGGAAGTTTATGGGAAGCACCAGGTCATTCGAACGTATTCTGGCCACAAACTTCCTGTTCGAGAAGTTGCGTTCAATAACGAAGGAACGGAATTCTTATCTGCGAGTTTTGATAGATACATCAAGTTGTGGGACACAGAAACAGGCCAGGTGAGCGGAGCTCTGGAAACTATGATTTTCTACACTTTCTATTCTACTCTTCTAGAACTAAGGTCTTTGTGAATACAAAGGGTGTCGTACACTGGGGGTACCCAACGAAGGGGAGGGGTCCTATTTGGTCGCTGAAGGGAAGGGATCGTAATTGCCTTCAAAAGAAATGTGTTCGCTTTCTGATTTTCTCAATATTTCTTGTTCCACTGCCGCTTTACCCCCAATTACGCTCGCCAGTAGATTTTCGTTGAAGAAAACTGGGGAATTTTTGGAAAAAAAAACTAAGAAAGAGGGGGAGAAGGTTGGGCGATTCTGAGACTCTAGAAAGACTGAGGGGTGGCGAAAGTGTACGGGGTCGTAGTCTGCAAAAATATTCCACAGTGGCGGGGCGTGCCTTGGTGTCAACACCTAAACCGTCTGCCTTTAGGTCAAGCGACGCTTCCACACTGGTCATATTCCGTTCTGCGTCAAGTTTCATCCAGATGATGACAAAAATCATATGTTCCTTTCTGGAATGCAGAATAAGAAAATCGTCCAGTGGGATACGCGTACAGGAGAGATCGTACAGGTATGTTCTTCTTGCCCTTTTGCGTTCAAACTGGTCTTTTAATTGAAGTACCACGGGATTACTCGAAAGTGCATTGGAGTTCGGCCGCAGTGGATCAACCGCATTTTACCGTACTTATCTTTATAGTCCTGTACTGTCCTTTTTCGTTCGCCAATCATTTTCGAGGGACTAACTGCGCTATCATAGAATAGAAGGGCCACATGGCAGAGCCTCTGTCTCAGCTCCATGAAACCAGGCCGTGCCGACTTTGTTCATCTGCGCTGTGCAAATATTGAGCCTTGATTGACCGAAGGGACGTTAATGTGCTGCTTTGCCCCTTCGAACTCCTATTAGCGCTTGGATTTTTGAATGAGTCTTCAAAAAAGGTGCAGTGCGGAAAGCACATAGGCCCTCATTTCGTCATATAGTGCGGTCTTTATTCAAATTGGTGCCTTTCCATGAAACTTGTCACAAATTACCGTCCTTTTACTCGAATTAAATATTTAAACCTCAGTAATGCAAAGATTGTACAAAGTTTGGGTGATGATGTCGTGCCAAATTGGCGCCTGTTCACGCCATATGGCGCCAGCGCCACCAAATGTCATAATTGTGATCGGGGCCCCGACACCGTCTCTATAGGCAAAGACTCAGCAAGTTTGGGTCCAGAAATGGTCCAGTAATGTCCAGAAAGAAAAAGCCAGAAATGCCCTAAATTTTTCTTCAAGCCTTGAGTAAACGAGCAGTACATTGTAGACCAACAGAGACCATGATACATCATATAAGTACGTGAAGTATGAGAG